TTCGTCATTGTAGGCCTCCACAAACAAATGTAATTTTATTTTAGCAATCTTGGGCCACTTACAATTGTGTTGCATACATGTATGTACATGCATGCCTTTCTGGTCTAATGTTGTCTGGGATCTGTAGCTGACTGCAAAATAATGACATGAGTTTGCCTTTAAGCAGTTTGTTTTTGATACAAATGTTGTGTATACATGCACTGACTACATGGACTTACATGTGCTTACACCTGCTTGGACACGGCTCACATAATCTGTAAACTTGCAACTTGTGTCCATGAACGATTGGAAGTGCATAGGTAAAGTGTCTGAGATGTTTTAGCACTGAGTCCTGCGTATGTGATGGCATTGGAGGTGGGGCACAGATGAATTGCTTGGTCAACCACAAGACTGATTCATCCATGTCTGACATTCCAGTCCTTTCAAGGTTTCAGGGCCCTCAAGCTACATGTTCGACCCGTTCCCCTCCAGGGGGAGAAAGTTGTCTTTAAGCTTTGTTCAAGTGGCATCCCTCTCACAGAAGAGGGGATCGGTTTGGAATATTAAGGTTCACAGGCGTTTGAGCCCGTACCGTCTCCAGATTTGGCATTTGGAGATAATGTGTTCAAACAGTGGAGTTTGGCGCACGGCCAGGGGCAGCTCGCAGGATTTGTTGACTGACCGACAGTTGACTCTTGAAGTTGACTGGGATACTCCGCTGGAGGCTGTCTCTCCCCTCCCTCTGAACCCTGATTAATACCAGTCACTGACCCCCTGTCCATCAAGAGGAGGGGGTGGCAAGTGACACGAGGGCCTGGCTGTCCCAAATATCATGTGGATTGATTCCTTAGAGTAGAACTGTTTTTGTTTTTGTCTGTAGAGTATTTGAGTTCTACAAAGTTCATATGTTCCAGCACAAGCTCAGTTTCAGTTTGATAATTCGTGGTGCAGTTTACACCGTACATACTTTTTTGGTAAACAACAACCCCGGTAATAAGTCGTCCTGAATTGATGCTAGTATTTTAAACTAACGACAAGTAGCTTCAGTACCTAAAAGTGTCGATTTAAACAAGATTCCATCGATTCCAAGATTCTTTCCATCGTCCAGGAAAGAAGTGACATGTCTTTAACAAAAACCTGACATTTCTTATCCTTCATATGTTTCTTCATCGCTGGGCTTTGCATGTGCATCTGCATGCCATACGATTGCGATATTATTTTTGAAACTTCGGTCTTTGTTTATCAAGGAGGTCATTGATTCAGGACATTGGGACAATCTTCACCCAGAGCTCTGCTGCAGCTGCAATCCTCGGAGGAACACTTGTCTCCCACAATGGAGATTTATAGCCTTCATCTGTTGAAGTCCGTTTCCTGCATGCCTGTAAAATGGAGCATAAATCCTCAGCTGGCTTTTTTTGGGGGGGGGGTTGACAAACCACTCCTATTTGGAGGGATGCCTTACATGCATGTCAGCATTTGTATTTATCTCACATTTCGCAATGACGGACATTAGCCCCCCAAAAGCGGACAGAAGAAGGAAGTCAGTCATAATTTACGTTTAATAGAAATGTTTGGTGTTTTCCACATGTGGTGAAATAGGATTATGGAATCTGACACCTACACACTGGTTACATTTGCAGTCTGGCAGTGTTGGCTTTGTATCACTCGGTCATGTAAGCCCTTTCCCAGACGGCTAATGGCTCGGGCCGTTTGACCTATTTGTCATCTAGCCAGTCCTGTCATCTGATCCTCATCTTCTTCACAGGATAAATATTTTTTTTTTCACCTCTCCAAAATGTAATACGTGTGTGGTGGCGCGAACTCTGCAGAGGTAAATTGTTTCCACACCGCTGCTGCCTCTCCATGTTCTGATCTAGCCTAAGGCAGGCCAGCAACGTTCAACACTTAGATCCAGCCCCTCTACCCTACAAACCTAAATACGGGATGCCACGACTGGTTGTGTTATTTAGGCAAAGCCATCCTGCACCATTGCCACTCCTGGGTGTACCCGTACACCGTTTATAATTCAATCAATAAAATGTAGAAATAAAATGAAAGGAAAAAGGCTGTTCCAGACCTGGCATAATAGATATTTTTGTTGTTGGGGAGAGAGGATTGGATCAGATGACCCTTCTGTTAAGTGTATTATGGAAATGAAATATTGACCCTCAGGTGCGAAGGGCTTTTGGGTTGAAGGGGGAAATTCAAAAGCCCCTCACTCTGGCACGCAGACTGGACACTGGCCACCAGAGCTGTGTCGGTCCCAGTGTGAACGTGGGAGCATTCTTGCACCAAGTGATTAATGAAAGTGTCATCTACAGCAGCTGTGTGATGTACCAGCTTTGGAGAAGTACACTGAGCTAGCTTCAAAACCGTGTCGGGTTATTGCCTATACCGGTCACTCGTAACATGACCAGCCAACTGAAAATACAAATGTAGCTCTGTCTGAATTTTATTTTGTCAGTCAAATGTTCAACTAATTTTTTTTTTGGGTCTTACTAGGCCGCGCTGACCTTTTGAAATTAAAGTGAAGTATGAAAAGGTCACTTGTTGGCAAGAAAAATTGGGATTGTACAGAATAATTAATCTGAACTCCTGCTTTCTTTCCGTTTCCAACATTTGAAAAGACTTTATTGGATAGAATACGTATTTTTTTTGCATTGTGTTTTCATCTCATAAACAAAACAAAACAAAACAAAACAAAAAACGCTTGTTTTCTCATATTGCCGTCACCCAGCTCAACACGATGGTGATCGTCAATGGATGTGGTGACCGTTGAGATATGGCGGGTGGTAATCCAATTACCGGGGCTCGGACACATTTCAAAATTTTTTTTTAATGGTCTTGGTTTAGATGGGATGAGCCGTGCCACTGCCACATGACGTCTTGGTTGGCTGTTCAACCGTCTGCTCGGTTTAGAGGAGCAAGAGGCATGCACATGAGGTTGAGAGTTCAGAGTTGTACAGATTTGAACAGGATGGCAGAAATGCCTATCAGTTCATTCACCTTAGGGCCCCTAAGTTTTAAACTCCCTTCTTGTATGATGGACGTAGGTTTTTTCACACTGAAGGGAATGGGATCACGACTTGGAGACATGATGGCTTCACACATACATGTATGTAAGGGCGTCCTCATACATCTGAGGACGTCTTCACACAAGGACGTGCAGTGCCCTTAAAGTATCAGGACTAAAGATGTCCTCAAGGACAACAAATTTGTGCAAAAGATCGGGAGTGAACCAAGGCAAATCAAACAATGAATCTGGTTTCTCTTTCAATGACCTTAACTGAAAATCGGGGCCAAAGTCTGAACTCCTGCCATCTGGGGCAGAATGTTCCACACATGGCCCCGGTCTGTGGGGGAAACCAGGGCATTTGGAGCCCTGTCTTGTCCGGCCTTCAAAAAGGTTCGATGAATGCTTTCATACCTGCCTCTGGAGGGAATAAAGCATGCAGTTAGGCAGCTGAGAGCACCGTACATGCGCATTCATATGCAGTCGACCACTCACCACCGTGCGGCTCATGAAGAATGTTGGGCTCGTCATAGCCCTTGGGCAACACGCTATGTCATTATTTACAGCCAGAAGTTTGGGCGAACATGCTTTGGAACTCGCAAATCAGGATCTTCATTTCGGTGCCTGAAAACCCATGAGATTGAGCGAGAATGTTGAGAATGTGTAAGAGAGGCACCGTGGACGGTGGAGAGTTTGTTCCAGCTCAGCTTGAGCGTTCAAAAATGCAATTTTCTCTGCCTTGACTGTCAGCCGAGGACAATGCTACCATGAAGCATAGATGAGTACACTTGCGTACTTGTGTGGAAGTGAGAACTATTTGTAAACCATGGACGGAAAACGTCCACGGAGTAGCTGACATGGTCATGGTGACCATGAGCCAAGATAACAGTAGTCAAGTTTCCACTGCCTGTTCACCCCCCTCCCCTTGTGAAATTCTTTTAAAATTCAAACCATGTCTCAGAGTTCATTGTGACAACAGTGCCCTCACCATTCTCTGTCTCTATATTGAATCTACTGATCACCTTTGGAATGTTGCTTTCCCAAGATGGTGGGGGGCGGGGCACACTGAATATTAACAAATTCATACACTTCTGCACGGTTCTTCTCAACGACCCCTTCGCTTGTTGTCTGAGAGTCTGCCCCACAGTACATCCCAAACAATGGGACACTTCTGAGCTGCTCGGTCTTTTGCTATTGTTTTGAGTCCATGTTTGAGTCAGTGTGTGCAGGCTCAACGCGATGCAATCAGTACCGAACTGATGATGTGGAACCAGTTTGCTAATATCCGCCACAAGTAATCATCTCCAAAGTCTCCCACTGGAAAGTCCGCTTGTTACCTCGCGGAGTCGGTGCATTGTACATCTTAACTGTAGGCATGAAAAGGGAGAACAGATGTTGGGCATTGGGCCTACAACCAATCATAGGTTTCATTTTCTTACCTGTCCCCCCCCCAGCCCTGCCATATTTGCCCTCCTGGATGTTGTACGATACCCCATCAGGCCACCACCCATTTATATGCCTTCATCCTTTGCCCATTTGCAATACTGTTGATTTGACAAGCGGCCGGCACAGACTGAGAGCAGGCCATATTAATGTCATTTGAGGAGCGCGGGTACCATATGTTTTGGTTGGGGGGGAGAAGGGGGAGACATCAGTGTCTATGCCTGGGGTCTCTGTCTGACACTGATGTTGGGGTATGACCCCCTGACGGATTAGGTTTTCTAGAATACATCAGGTTTTCCATATCACAGCCTAGAGGGGGACGTTGACTGCAGTTTCTGGTAGATGGATGGACCATTGAAGTCATGAATTGACATGTTCCTGACTCTTGCATTCATGCAGAACTGTATCACTGTATCATGTACACGGATGAGCTGCGGTTTTCCTCAAGAGGCTTGAGCGGATAAAAAGAGGATTTTTGAAGCCAAAATTTGCTCCACAAAACTGTGATTCAGTTTGAGAATTTCTGACCATTTTCATTTTTTTTTTTCAATTTTTGTCATTTTAGGTCTTCCCGTACGAGGAGGTGGATAAGGGCCAGCCATGCCTGAGCTGCGGGGATCGATGCCTGGGCTTCACTCCACACAAGTGGAGGTGAGTTTGTCAGTCTCACATGGCACCTCTCCATACACCTGTCTTTAAAGAAACGCCCATGTCTCCACAGTGGAAGACTGTGACCCATCCCAACAAAACGAACCAAAAGTTGCCAGAACCACATTTGCATTGAAGGCCTTGAAAAGAGTCTTGCGCGGTGAGAAGCAGAAAGAGCCCCCAACATTTTTCCCCCACACAATGCCCTTGTTCATCAGGATGCCAAACCAACTGATACATCAAAACAGGGAGCCGAATGTGCAAATATACAAATCGAAACAAAATTACTGAAAAAAAATTTCAAATTAATTAGATCCAGCCACACACATATTATATGCAGACCCTTAGAAATCAACTTGAAGCTTAGAAAATTTTTTAAAAGAAAAGCACGGGAATTTTATTGGAACACGTGTGCCCTTTTTTCCTA